TGGCTAGTTAAGGCCGAAAATGGGCAGTGAAACGGGTCTGTCAGTGTGGCTCGACGATCCAAACGGGAGCCACACGGGCTGGCTCGAGCTCGAGCCTTTGCCATGTGGCTCGGCCCGAGCCTCAGCTCGGTGGTTTCGAGCTACGAGCTCGATCAGCTCGGACTTTTCTCAGGCAAAGCCACGGGCAGCTCGAGCCAACGAACCATTTTGACATCCCTAAATAATTCTGTACTCCCTATTAATGAAACTTTGGAAGGAAATACTAATTAATTGGAAATTTTGAATAAAAATATGATTAAGTGTTGACTTTGAACTAAATTTTAATTCTTTTTTTTTAAAGGAACCAAACAATGACTAAATATATACTTAGAATTTGCATCGTCAAGCCACACATTTCTAATTCGTCAAACTCATACTTATTAAGGATGAATTAAACGTTTTGTCGATTTCTTATCAAGGAAAACATACTTTTAACAAAAAGCTGAAAAGAATAGCTTCTTAATTTTGTACTTGAACCGAATTAACGAATTTTATAAGTTCATGCACATATCAAACTATTGTGAAAATAAAAATAATAATAATAAATAAATAAATTGATAAAATAGTATAATATATTAAATATTAACTATCGCAAATGAAATTATGAAATTGAAAGACTAATTCTAAATTAGACATTGTCAAAATCGAACCTCTAAAAACGAAACAGGATCGAAACCAGATTTCCGGTCCAATTCCTAAAAAAATAAATTAGGAACCGGAATCGAGAACCGAAAACCGACTATGTTCAAGTCGGTTCTTGATTCCTGAACCAAAATCGTGGATACCTTAGTGGAACCAATATTTTTTTATACTTTTTTATAAAACAATTTGTAAGCTGGGTTAAAAAATATAAGATATAAAAATCCTAATTTGGTAGTAATTAGTTTAATACTTTAGAGTACTCTAACCCTGAGAAATTAAGATTAACTCTTTTTTGTCTCTCACCTCACATCAGAATATTGCATTTCAGATATTAGTACATGTTAATTTTTGTAATTTTGACTTTTTATTAATTAAAAAATTCAATTTAAGTTGTAGTGTAAATTGATGAATCAAAACATTCATTCTTTACCATTCGAGCTTTTTACTTTCTTGCATTATNCCATTCGAGCTTTTTTCTTTCTTGCATTTTATATTTGTGTGTGTGTGTGTGTGTGTGTGTGTGTGTGTGTGTGTGTGTGTGTGTGTATATATATATATGTATATATATGTTTTTTTTTAATAATACGTGGCAATAGAACTTGATATATTTATAACTTGGATGGTGTACCTTTTTTGTTATCTTAAGTTCGCGATTCTCTTTTCAAATATAATTTTTATTTTCTTTTTCTTATTCGAACGGAGTGAGTTCAATATATGAATTGCAATTTCTTAATACTACATAGTTATAAATCTAATTAGTATTTTTATGTAATTTCATTTTAAGAGTAGAAGAATTTAAACATCGTTCATAATTAAATTATAGACTCTATCATGCGTGATCTTAAGGATCGAATAAGATTTATTAAGAAAAAATAATTTCTTCTCAAATTATAATTTAATTTTTGATATTTTAATTTTCTCTTCTTTTCGTGATTTTTAGTCTCCACTAGTTTGATTCTTGAAGATTTTTTAGCTGAATTTTCTCCCTTTCATAAATATTATAGAGTAGTAGCGTATTAGGTTTATGTACCGATAGACCTATATGAAAATGATTATTAAATATGTAAGAAAATATGTGATGGGTATAACTGAATCCGAACCGGAACCGAAGATTCAGTTTTGGATTTGGTTCCAATAATTACAAGAACTCAAATGATTTTATTTACGAAATACCCGAAATATAATGGATGATTCCAAGTATTGAAACACCCGAACCAATCCGCCAACGACTAGACCTATTCTAAATTAATTTACAGATACTACGATAAAAAAGAATCAAGAATAATCCAAAATGAAGTAATGAATTCAAAAATTGGTATAATTAATAACAATTAGAACCAATTCCAATAGATCAATTAGGTACACACTATGGACATAGTAAAAAGTGGGTTAATATTTCTCTAATTTTCTTTTCAGTTCTTCGATTTTCTTGTCCAATTTGTTGTATTCATCCACATTCTTTCCTAGCTCATAAATCCTTTGCAGAGCAATCTCCTTCTTCTTCTCTTTTTCTTCAATGTTTCTCTCCTCCTGCTCGTAGAAAGCCTCGCGTTCATCAATTTCTTTGACCAAGGACTCAAGTTTTTTTTTCTCTTCATCCAACTCCATTTTCGATATCTCTTGTGCACTCATCCTCCTTGTTTCTTGTCCAAACAAGGAGCAACTTCACAGATTTGGAGCTTTGGGTACAAAAAAAGATGGAGGCGAGGCTATTTGTTGACATCTAAGGTTTCAGCCCGTAATAAATTTCAAATATCGTTAAATAATAATTGCATATATTTTTATTAAGTTGGAATTTATTATTATCTTAAAACTCAAATTGATCTTAAACTGGCTCCATAATTAATGATATCCATCGCAGAGTCAGGATTCAACTAGTATAAATTTTTTTCAAAGGATCATCGGCCATATTATTTATTATAAGAAACACACTTTGATCATAGTGCGTCTTACTTAACACAATAAATTAACTATAAGAGATAAAATGGAAATACAAAATGAACCAGGGAAGAAGATTTGGGAGGACAAAACCATTAACTTGTAACAATGAGAGCATTGAGTTTAATTAACAAAGGACGAGAATTAATGTTAGGAACGATGAACGCGGGC